TTTTTGGCCAGAGCTGGGTTTGAACCCGCCACCTCTGGCATTTGGGGCCAGCACCCTGCTCCTTTGAGCCACAGGCGCTGCCCGGGAGGATATTTTTTTAAAGGTGAAAACATCTTAGTAGGCTGGTCTGAAAGGTAATAAGTTATCTTTATCGATTGTTCATAGTCGCTTATAGATCAAACTCCTTAGCCTACTCTCTTCCCTTCTCACTACTATACTTGACTAGTCTTAATTTTTTTTTTTTTTTAAAGCATCTTAGTACTCTAGGGAATGTTACGCCATCTCTTAGCTCCTTATCTTAATATCCAGAGAGGATTTGTTGTATGCCAGTCAGGTGGTTCATATATGATTTTGTATAGCTAGGACTCTCCCATTGAAAATACAGTAGGTTAGTAACAAAACAGAGACCAGGATATAGAAATCTTTACTCTTAGGATTGATATAGTGGATTTAGCACTGGACTAGGTACTGTATACTAGTCATTTTGTATACTAATCAGTTACCTGCCTTTGGGCAAGCCACATAACCTGCAATAGTTTTCTTACCTGTATTAAAAATGGAATTAATAATCATCTTTGCCTTTCCTGTTATAGCTCAGATAGATTAATGTATGTGTATACACATAAATACATACATGTACATAAAATGCATTGAGAAATATGAATTGTGTATTTGTGAAATTGCTAAGAAGTATATATTAACTACAATTCACTTCTCAATGAGAATTTAGCATCTGTTTGCACTGACTGTAGTTTTATTTGAACTATTTTCAGAGCTTAAGATGTGGGACCACCGGAGTCGTAACTTTCATCAGAGGCAACATGTTGCACGTGGCCTGGGTGGGTGATTCCCAGGTTATGCTTGTGAGAAAGGGCCAAGCTGTTGAACTGATGAAGCCCCACAAACCAGACAGAGAGGTAAGTATGGTCTATTCTGTTAGAGCACATGCCATAAAGGTAGTTTTCTAGTTATTAATTAGGACTCAATTATTATAATTATTGCCATTATCTCAGCAACTGTGCCCACCTTCCAGTGGAGAAATAAAGAGCACTTTTTCATGAAGCTGATGAGTATTGTTATCTGTTGTTCACTGTTAAAGTAGATGAATAAACCCTGAATCCAGTTTTTTGCTTCTTTTTATTGCATTGCTGTTTAGGATGAAAAGCAGCGAATTGAGGCCCTTGGAGGTTGTGTAGTCTGGTTTGGTGCCTGGAGGGTGAATGGAAGTCTGTCGGTCTCCAGAGCTATTGGTAGGAAAAACAAATTTTTGTGTCTCCAAATTGTCCTCTTCTAGCTCATTGTCTTACACTTTGACACAAGAGAACCTGAGATGACAATTTATATTATCAGAGTGTTTATCATGATTTGAATAAGTGGACAATGCCTCTTTTTAATTATTAGATTTAGTTAAGCCTATCCATTTTGATAAATTCCATTATTAAAAGGGAGCCATATCAAGACATGAAGAATTTACTAGTTTCTGTCCTTCTCCCCACCTTTTAAAAAAAATGGAAGCCTTTACTTGTGAGTACATAAATCTGCTTAAAACCACAGTGATCAGGCTCGGCACCCATAGCTTAGTGGTTGGGGCATCGATCACATACACTGGGGCTGGCGGGTTCAAACCTGGCCCAGGCCTGCTAAAAAACAATGACAACTATAACAAAAAAAAAAAAAAATCTTGTACCTTCAATGAAGTCCCAAAAATAAATTAAAAAAAAATAGCCGGGCATTGTGGTAGGTGTCTGTAGTCCTAGCTACTTGGGAGGCTGAGGCAAGAGAATCGTTTAAGCCCAAGAGTTTGATGTTGCTGTGAGCTATGATGCCACAGTACTCTACTGAGGGCAACATAGTGAGACTCTGTCTCCAAAACACTGTGATCCTCATTTCATTCTGTTTTGGGTCATAGTTTGCTTAAATCAGTATTTTGCAAAGAATGGAAGCTTCTCTTCATATTTTACTCATATTTAAGTTTTTTGAAGGAATTTTTTGAATGACATAAATAATTGATAATAAATTCATAGGAAAAACATTAAGTTTTTGACATGAAAGCCATTTTCTGTATGTGGAATACAGACAGTCCCCAGGTTACAAATGAGATAAATTCTGTAGGTTTGTTGTTTAGTTAAATTTGCATGTAAGTTTGAATAGGCACATTTACCTATTAACTGTAATAGCTTTTATTTGTGTGAGTCATATGTCACTTGGATATTGTAACTCAGGGATTTACTGTATAGTGATTTGTCAGATAACCCTGGGTTTCAAAGACTCCTTCCCTGGGACTTAAATTTTTCAAAAGGAGAATGTCCACAGATTCTTTCTAAAACATACAGATTAAATGGCTAAGTTGATGGGACAAAAAGCAAGGGTATTGTTCAAAGAATTAAGTTATCTATCTGTTTCACTTTGGGTCCTGGGTTTATTATTTTAGGCTTCATGGCTTAGCTTCATTCCTTGAATAGATCAGCATGTGTGTGTATATATATATATATATATATATATATTTATGAGTGATACATGCATATATATCTTGCTTTGATATATATACATGCATATATATCTTTGCTTGTTTTTAATCTTGCTTCCCTGATGAAATGAAATAATTGGCCACAGGATAACATGGACAAATGGAATTCACATCCAGTCCCCAAATTTAGTTTATCATTACCAAAAAATTCTAGAACATTAAGAAAATCTCAAATGATTTAGTTTCACCACTGATTTGAGTTCCTCTCACTCTTTAGGAAGGTGCTGGCAAACTGTGAAGTGGCCCAAATATGAGCAGCAGAAGGCTGAAAGAGAAATAGAGAGCTAAGAGATTCTACAAATACCTTCTGAAAGACTGAGAGTTGGCTTTACCTTAGACTGAGGGAGTTATTGGCTTTAGAATAAGGCCAAAAAGGGGAATTTCTCATTTCTATAATACACCTTATATGGAATTATTTTTAACAACTCTAACCAAAGACCTTCCTCTTGATCTTGCCTGTCTTTGTCAGGGGATTGAGGAGTATCTTTAATGCTTGTTACAAAGCCAGCTTACTAGGGGATACTTGCCTTTTCTTGCTTCTAAAAATACAACACAAAGGGAAACTAAAGCAGGGGAAGAAGGTCCTTGAATAAGGGAGACTGCACAGAGGAAGTGACTTTGGGTTGGACATGGAGTATAACGTGTAGGGAAGGAAATCCCAGGAATAGGGAAGTGTAAATACATGGGAGTTCGAAAGGACAAGGAACATTTTAGGAATAGCAGTTAAGTATAGGAGTCTAGAGCAGACGGTGAGAGTGGTACAAAGGGATTACAAGTATCGGCACCCGTATTGGGAAAGGTCTTATATCTAGGCTGAGTAGCCTGGACTGTACCAGGTGAATAAGCAGGTTTGCATTTATAAGGGTATTGGTAGTGACACGGGAGATGGGCCAGCGTACACGGCACCTCCATGGGCAGTCACTCAGGAGGCTGGCACAGTTTGTTAGATGAGGACAGCTACAATGGGATGTGGGCAATGTGCACACTGATGAGGCAGATTCATGGTTGGAAAAAACCACTACTCAGGTTACAGAGAACCGTCAGGTGTGGGAGAATAAGAAGTAAGGGGCAAGTGTAGATTCCGTTTCTTGGGCAGTTTTGACGGCGAATGGGAGAAAGGAAATAGTGTGGTGGCTTGAGGGGAAACCCGATTTGGAAAGGGTTTCGTTTATTGTTTCTATTTTCAGGATAGGAGATTTTAGATTTGAACGTGTTGGTAAGAAAAAAAGAGCAAGTAGGGAGAAGCTGAAGATGAGAGAGTAGAGAAGCCAGAGTCCTAGGAAGGCAGAACCAACAGAGCAGGTTCGCTTTGAGAAGGGGAGGAGATACCACTTACTCTGAAGAAGTAGCAGCTGGTCTAGGTGAATCTCTACAGACTAAAAAAAAAAAGTGGGGAGAGCAGGATGTGAGGACGTTTAAGCCTGATAAACATACTCTTCTTTGAAGTAGGAAATTAGGACACCTACCAAAATCCAGTAGCTTAACTGGATGAGGAAGTTAAAGAATGTGAGAAAGATTTGGAAAGCTCATGAAATAAAATAGGGGCTACAGAGGGGCAAGCAAAAGGACTCTTGAGCAGAGTTTAACACTACTTATGGAATAAATGATATTTTAACTTAAAATGAAAATCTTTTTAGTAGTTTCTCCCTATGAGCCCTTCAAATCTATGATCCAAAGTTGACAGAGGAATGATGTTTCCTAACATATGGAGAGAGGAGGATGAAGACAAGGATGTTGCCATTTCTACCATGAAATGGGTATTCATGTTCTCCTATCACATTTGGGGGCGAAATGTCATGAATTTGATACCCAACAGTAAAGCAGGTGAAAAGCCAGAATTTTGGCAGCATTTTCTTGGTGCAAATCCTTGTATGTTCTGTTCCAAACTAACAGTTGCAATAGTCTTTTTAATTAAAGCACTAAAACAAGATTTTGGGAACAGTATGAGTCAGATCACACTTATTTTTAGAAATGGAATTCAGAAAATAATAATGATGATAATAATACAGTCAGGTAGAGCAGGGGATGGGGAAATTTATTTATTTTTAACTTTTTATTAAATGATACACTGAAAGTATAAAAGTTGCTTTGGTACAAACAGGTTACAGAATAATGCATATAAAAGCTGTATGGACCACATGTGACAATTTTGTTTTACTTCCATTTTGATTTTATTATCAGTATCCAAAGGGATGGGGAAATTTAGTAAAGTGGATTGGTGGAGGACAGTGAATCCCAGGATTGGGTTTTAATTAGCTCTAATAGGCTACTGGGAGACATTAAAATGTAGAAGTGAAACTGATGGAATTAACACCATGCTTGAGAAACATGGAATGGAGACTGACGGAGATGTGACTAAGGAGAGAGGGTTATTATGTATTTGAGAATGAGTAAAGGAGGGAAGCTGAGCGTTCATAGGATCCAAAGAGTAGTTTCTTTTGCCATAGATACACTAATACAGGTTCTTCTAGTGAGCAGTTGCCTACTGCTCTGCATGTCCAGTAGGAAGGCATGTTGCCCACATTGGTTCTAGCAGTTATCCACAGGGTTCCTATAGAGCAGTGGTTCTCAACCTTCCTAATGCCGTGACCCTTTAATACAGTTCCTCATGTTGTGGTGACCCCCAACCATAAAATTATTTTCGTTGCTACTTCATAACTATAATTTTGCTACTGTTATGAATCATAACGCAAATATCTGATATGCAGGATGTATTTAGGTGACCCCTATGAAAGGGCTGTTTGACCCCCAAAGGGGTTGCGACTCACAGGTTGAGAACTGCTGCTATAGCTCTTTCTGAGCCTATTTGAGGATTAAACAGGGATGTGAAACACTGGAAAGAAACCTTCCTTGGGTCACAGAGAACCTATAATATCACAACAATGGATATATAGCCAGATCACTCAGGTACATTTATTTAAATTCAAATTATCTTTCCCTAATCAAGAGGTTCAGTTTTAGTGTAGTGGAAAGAACAGTAGGCTGAGCACCCGCCACATACACCAAAGTTGGCGGGTTTGAACCCAGCCTGTGCCAGGTAAACAATGACAATTGCAACAAAAAACAACCGGGCATTGTGGCGGGCGTCTGCAGTCCCAGCTACTTGGGAAGCTGAGGCAAGAAAATCGCTTGAGCCCAGGAGTTTGAGGTTGCTATGAGGTGTGACACAACAGCACTTTACTGAAGGCTACAAAGAGCCTCTGTCTCAAAAAAAAAAAAAAAAGGGATAGAAATTGGTAAGAGTTGTGTAGGTAACATGTAGAAGAGCTAGGATTAGGACCCAGGCAATCTGACTCCAGTGCCAGTGGCCTCAGTGAGCCTAAGCCGCGTGCCACTAATTTATAATTGATGAAGTCTTTGCATGTATCTGGCATGCATTTATTTGTTTGTTTACAGAGACAGGGGTTTCACTCTGTTGCTGAGGTTGGAGAGCAGTGGTGTGATCTTATTTCACCCTATTGAACTCCTGGGCTCAAGCAAGCTTCAGACATGTGCTACCATGCCTAGCTAATTAAAAAAAAATTTTTATAGAGATACGATTGACCAGGCTAATAATGAATTCCTTGCCTTAAGCAGTCCTTCTGCCCCAGCCTCCTAAAGTGCTGGGATTACAGGAGTGAGCCACTGTCCCTAGTCTATTTTTAATTTTTTTAAAATGCCATGTAATACCTACTCTAGGTATTATCGTTCCTAGTACCCTGTGTTTTTGTTCTTATAAAGAAGTAGTGAATGAGTGAGTGTCCCTTGTTGTAATCATAAGCTTTTTTGTTACCTGATAGGCTATGGACTCTCTTGCTAGCCTCTTTCCAAATACCCAAACAAAAATAATGAATGGATCCAACTCTGGATCTGTAAGTTTTAGACACACTGTAAATGATCAATTATTTTAGTAGTCTCATGATAGAAACCTGGTTTAGTGTGGGCCCATGCCCTCTAGGCTTGCTTTACTGCTCCGCGCCCTGTCCTCCACCCTCTACTACACATTATTCCCTAACAGGTGCCTCTGGGTCTTTGCTTATGCTCTTTCCTTAACTGAAGGACCTTCTCTGCCTTATCTTTCCAGGCTCAGCTCAAATGCCATTCTGTGAGTGGATGAGCTAAGTAAGAAAATAAAGAAATAAGGGCCCACAAAGGCCTTAGAGGTTCACAGCTGTTAGTAAGTGGCAGAATGGGCAATAACAATAAAGACAGAAAGCAGGGGTGATCAGAAACATGAAGGAAGAATATGGGAATCTCTGCAGACAAGAGAAAAATGGTCATACATTTTCTGTTCTCTAGATTATAGTAAAGCAGCATTAAAATGCAGAAAGCCAAATGGACTGGGAGTCAAGATAACTGTATTCTACTTCTTTTGTGTGAGGCCTTAGATCAGCCACATAATTTTTCCTGGCTTGAGGGAGTTGGACTTGGTATATATATTAGATTAAATATTTATATATTTATTTATATATATATATATATATTTATAGAGACAGTCTCATTTTATCACCCTCGGTAGAGTGCCATGGTGTCACAGCTCACAGCAACCTCCAACTCCTGGGCTTAGGTCATTTCTCTTGCCTCAGCCTTTTGAGTAGCTGGGACTACAGGCACCCACCACAACATCCGGCTATTTTTTTGTTGCAGTTTGGCTGGGGCCAGGTTTGAACCCTGGTATAATGGGGCCGGCGCCCTACCCACAGAGCCACAGGCACTGCCCAATGTTTATTTTTGAGATAAAGTCTCACTATGTTGCCCTCAGTAGAGTGCTATGACGTCACAGCTCACAGCAACCTCAAACTCTTGGGCTTAAGCTATTCTCTTGCCTCAGGCTTCCAAGTAACTGGGACTACAGGTGCCTACCACAATACCCAGCTCTTGTTTGGTTGTAGTTGTCATTATTGTTTGGCAGGCCTGGACTGGGTTTGACAAGCCTGCCAGCTCTGGTGTATGTGGTTGGTGCCCTAGCTGTTGAGCTATAGGCACTGAGCCTGGACTTGATATTTATTCATTGACAGAGTGTTCCTCGGCTGCACTCAGTAGTGTTGTGATGTCATAGCTCACAATAACCTTAAACTCTTGGGCTTGAGCAATCTTCTTGCCTCAGCCTCCTGACTAGCTGGGACCTATAGGCACCTGCCACCAATGCCTGGCTAGTTTTTCTGTTTTTAGTAGACATGGGGTCTCAGGCTGTTCTCAAACTCCTGAGCTCAAGCAATCCACCTGCCTTGGCCTCTCAGAGTGCTAGAATTACAGGCATGAGCCGCTGTGTCTGGACCCCAGACTTGATTGTTAAAATCCTTTGTACTCAAACCTCTCTTCCTGCTTATAGCATGAAGCTATTTATTGATTTCTAAATAAGAATCAAATAAAGAATAGGTGTTTAATGAAAAAGTAATCATAAATTTAGTTTGTTTCTTTCAATGTGGACTTGTTCTCAGATCTCAGTTAAATCAAATCTAACTACCAGCAAAAGAACAGATTTACTAAATCAACAGTTTTGCTACGTAGAATTGAATTTTTTAGTACAGCAACAAATTTAGATTTGACATTATTGCTTTGATCAGCTAAGTCTAAATCATAGCCAGAGGTACAGATTGTCTAAACTAGAGAAAAAATTAAGCCCAGGGACTGGCAATTATTTAACTCAGAGTAAAGAGTAAACAACATGGGATTACTAGAGAATACAAGTATTTTATCAAAAACTTATTTTAAAAATTCTTTCCAGTAAATTCAGTTTACAGTTGAGTAAATTGTGGTTTATGTGGCCATAAACAGTTTTAGCACACAAAGTAAACCAAAGTCTGACTTCTGATGCCCTATTCTTATTTCCCACAGGAGATGCTGAACATAAGCCGTATATCTGTGGGGATGCCGATTCTGCCTCCACTGTTTTGGATGGGACCGAAGACTACCTCATTCTGGCCTGTGATGGCTTCTATGATACTGTAAACCCTGACGAGGCAGTGAAAGTTGTGTCTGACCACTTGAAAGAGAATAACGGAGACAGCAGCATGGTTGCCCACAAATTAGTGGCATCAGCTCGCGATGCTGGGTCAAGTGATAACATCACTGTTATTGTGGTATTCCTGAGGGACATGAACAAAGCTGTAAATGTTAGTGAGGAATCAGATTGGACAGAGAACTCTTTTCAAGGAGGGCAAGAAGATGGTGGGGATGATAAGGAGACTCATGGAGAGTGCAAACGCCCTTGGCCTCAGCATCAGTGCTCAGCACCAGCCGATCTAGGCTATGATGGGCGCGTGGATTCATTCACTGATAGAACTAGCCTGAGCCCAGGGTCCCAAATCAACGTGCTGGAAGAACCAGGCTACCTAGATCTTACACAAATAGAAGCAAGCAAACCTCACAGTGCCCAGTTTTTGCCACCAGTTGAGATGTTTGGTCCTGGTACACCAAAGAAAGCAAATCTTACTAATGAGCTAATAATGGAGAAAAAATCAGTTCAATCATCATTGCCTCAATGGAGTGGTGCTGGAGAGTTTCCCGCTTCTTTCAATTTGGGTTCAACAGGGCAGCAGATGCACAGAATGGAGAGCTTGTCTCCTGTCTGTCCTGGGTTGGAAAATGAACAGTTCAAATCCCTGGGAAACAGAGTTTCTAGATTGTCTCATTTACGCCACCACTATTCAAAGAGGCGGCATGGATTCAGGTTTAGTCCAAAGTTTTATTCATTTCTCTTTGCTCAAGAGCTTTCCCACAAAACAGGCCCTAGCCTATCCTCACTTACACGAAGTGGGAAGAGAAATAGAATGTTAAGTTCTCTGTTACGGAGGCCAAATAGTTGGAAAGGGCACAGTGAAAACATGAGGCAGCTCAGTAAGAGTCATGAAATTCCATACCCAGATCTTCGCTGGAGCTATAAAATATAATAGTGTTTCTTTAAAGTAGGCTAGCTAGCTCTCCCCCAATAAAAACACCACTGTCAGAGTAGAAACAAGGTAGACATTTCTAAAACATATGTGCTTCATCATGAATCCATGGATGGCTCAATTCTTAAGTGTAAATAGATCTCTAGGAAACTCAAAGTACAGTGTTTTCAATCTAAAAAAAAAGTATTGGCATTTTCACTTGCAAAATTATAGAACTGGTTCCTGTGATGTGTCTCCACCCCTACATACAATCCCCTCCCCACCATCCCTTCACATCACTAGTGGAAGGTTGCAAGTTAGTTATGTCTGGATATGTAGTGTTGAAATCTGGTCTGATGTGCCTAATATCTATGGAAAATTTAACGCAAAATTCAGTTAGGAAATGTCCCTCAAAATCCTGGGGACTATGAGGAAACATCCCTTCCCCCCATTTTGGGGCAGGCAAAAGACTAAAAGCCATATGGGTTTTAACTGGTAGCAATGAAAGTAGAAAACTAGCGTAAAAGCGTCATCTTCTCAGACTTGTGAGGTGGTTTACAGTAAAAAAGATTTACTGATTTTTTTTTCTGTAAAATAGACTGAACATTTTTTGAATTAAATATTTCATAGGGTGTAGTTATTTGGGGGTTTCATAACCCATTATGGTGCTTTTGGTGGCATTTTTGTTAGCATTCTAGGAGACTGGTTTTAATCTATGATGCTAATATGTTTTTCACTGTACCCTCATCTCAGGAATAGAACTAGTTTACTGGAGATGATGTCAGGTACAAATACACTAGAATTAAAATGCCATTTAAAAAGAAAACCAAATAGCATTTCTATATTTTTGCCTTTATTTTTTAGTTCAGACAGCAAAGGCAACTATTACTATAAAATAAAATGTGGTGTTGGAGACTGAAAATTGCTCATTTCAACTCCTTTAAAATTATTTCCCCCACGGGAATGGATTGGTATGAAGGAGGCTGAAAGAATTGCCTAAAGTGAGCCCAGAGGCCAAGTGCAAAGGAGAACGCAGATTACTGAGAGCCAGGTCTGTGTGATGATAATTGGAGGATGCACCAGTGTCCTGTTACGGGCAGCTTCTGACTGCCGAGATAGTTATTCTTAAAATATCTACTTTTGCCACTTCTGCAGTTTCAAGCTAGAAGCACATCTTTAAGGACAATAAATAATCAGATTCATTCAGTGAAGTAGCCTCTGATTCTCTGAGAATCAAGAATGTCTTGGTGTTATCCGTCCCTATCAATTGTGGACAAGGATAGCCCATTGCAGTGATCACTCATTCTGTCAGAATGCACAAATGCTCTTGCTGAGAAATGTCCATTGCCTAATTGTATTTTTACATGATGATACAATTACTTTATGTTCCCTAGTCTCATAATGGAGGACTAAAATTCCTGAATTTTAAAGAAATAGATGACTGTAGCATATTTTTGAGTGCCAGTATAGCTATAAAAAATAACAGCTTCACTTTAACTATTATCAGATTGTTAATCTACACATTTTATTTTTAAAAATTTGGATGTAAGTAGAGATTTTTCAAGTATTTGTTTTCTCTTGATTTTGAAGTCAATTCTTTTCTCAAGTCTGTGACACATAGTTGAAAAGGAGTGAGTGAACATGGCTCCAACTACATAACTAGAATCTTCCATCGTTCTGATGCTTTGCCCCCATACATGGACCTCACTCGTATATGTCATTTTCTGAAGCCTAGATCTTGTTAATAACCCATCAGGTGCAGTGTTGGTTCCAAATCAAATTATCCTAAGAAAACAAGAAAACAGAGGCAGCAGAATATTGGTACACATTATAGTCCAAAGTGCTTGGCTAAGTAAAACAAAACTTTTAAAAAATTTCTATGGTCTATTGGTAATATTTTTGATCAGAATAAAGAAGGAAAAAGTTACAAGTGATAGGCCTTTTCAGTGCGGAAAAAATGGCTGGATGAAACTGGGAAAAACACAGACCCACCTTTAAGGGTCTGGATTTTGTAGTCTGATTACACAACAGTGTTAACTCCATTTCTCATACCATTACCTCTAGAAAATAAAGCAAAGTAGTTCTAGTGTGATCGTTATAATCCAATATTGTAAAAATAGTTACTATTCATTTGTTCACAACGTGCATATTTATAGAGTAGCTAGGTACCATTTGTAAGGTAAGTCCTTAAAAATTCTATAACACTAAAGTAGTGGTTATTGGTTTGACACATGCTGCTCTTGGTTCTATAAACTAGATAAAAAGCAGTGCTTTGTGAAATGCAGTGTTATATCTTAATGCCACTGGTGATAGAAAGTAGTTCCCTTCAGTTTAAATCCTGTGCCCTTATTTGCTGCTTGCTGAAGTAAGCAATAAGTAACCCTCTAACTAATGGTATCTACACACTTCTGTAACTTGTATTTAATGATGGTGTATCTGGTGATTGTAAAAATATTAGACAGATATAAAAGTATCTATATCTATATATTAACTGTTAATGCTGAGGTATAATCTGTGAATTATGTGTTTTGTACTTTTATTCATTGTGTAATTTAGTGGTGATGAGAGTTCTATACTCAGTCCCTGAAGAGTGAAGTATCCCTTTTCAGTCTAACATCTGCATCAATTTGTTTGCCTGCTAAACAAGTTTTGTTAGAATAGGAATAGTAAAACAAACATAAACGAGAGTATAGTATTGTTAGGGAAACAGACTTCAAGTCACCAACTGAAGTCATTACAAACTCCTTGTACATTCACTGTGAGTTTCAAAGGGAGTCAATCCCTGATTTAAAGGTTTCCTTTGTTCATTTTCTAGATGTGTACTTTTGTGGGATATCTGAGGTTAGGCAACATCACAGCATCAAACACTGGGGCAATTAATCCCATTTAGGTCTGTACTAAAAAGGATGGTTAGAAACACATATGTATATACCTTTTCTTTACCTAAAAGTGCCATCCATTGTCCTTGAATTAGTAAGATTAAAGTTACCGTTGCATTTAATTTTAACTAGGAGGCTCCTTGAAAGTAACACCTTTTCCAAGGGCAATGTCAATGTCAACACTAAGTCTAATTCTGACCACATTTATAGTGGTATAGTGTCAACACTGCATTTTCATGGCAACCACACTCCATCGTTGGAACACTGTGCCAGTAAGAAGTGCACCATCCAGTGGGCAGATGAAAATGACTCATAGAGAAGTTTGTTGTTTACAGATCAAATTGCTGTGGTTCAAGTACTTCCTTCCCCCATCAAAGCCTTCCTGAGGATTTGTGATCTAAATTATTAGTTTTTAGATCTAATTTATTCACTCAGTGAGCATTTTTACCTAAGCAGATCCATAAAAGGGGATAGTATAGTTTTGTTCACACCTGAATTTGAGACAATTTTTCTTCACATCATAAATATGCAAAAGAATATTTTCACCTGTGAAAATCATGTGACCTTAAGTGACAAATACCCACTCTTCTGTTTTGACTTGCAAATAGTTTAAACATCTCTTGCAAAACAAGATACTGCCAGTATTATAACACAACTCTTTTCCAGGCGAACAGTACTGTGTTAAAAAATAATTGTTACTTCCTCTAGCAACATTTTATCCACTTTGAAGACTATTTATTGCACCAATTAGAAAAAAACGAACTGGGACAGGGAACTCCACATGGACACAGCAGTTGCTTTTGAAAAGGAAATACTCTAATAAACTTTGATGTATTTGATAATCCACAGATACATCATCGTGAAAACTCTTACTCTAGGTGCTCTCTGGTGAGGCAGGCTTTGTTCTCTGGGTCATGACATTTCTCTGCAAAGAATTCTCTATGGAGTGAAACAAATGAAGTGAATAATTTCTTACCAAGTACATTTATCAATTTACAAACCTGCTCTCTACAGCTCACTTTTGAGTTTGGTTGTAATCATGAGTGATCCTTCATATTTTATTAAAACTGTTCATACAGATAAGGAGTATGTTGAAATTTTGCCAATTATCTTAATAAACCTAACAAATGAAAACCATTAGTCATTTGTCTTTTTATTTCAAAGAAAGTTATTCAGTGTTTAAATTTGGACAGATTCCCTCAGAACTGGGGAAAAAACTGTAAAAAAACCAAACCACCCTGTGATGGTAGTTTTCTTTTTTTTTTTTTTTTTGAGACAGAGCCTCAAGCTGTCCCCCTGGGTAGAGTGCCCTGGCATTACAGCTCACAGCAACCTCCAACTCCTGGGCTCAAGCGAGTCTCCTGCCTCCGCCTCCCAAGTAGCTGGGACCACAGGCGCCCGCCACAACGCCCGGCTATTTTTTGGTTGCAGCCGTCATTGTTGTTTGGCGGGTCCGGGCTGGGGGTTCGAACCCGCCACCTTAGGTGTACGTGGCGGGCGCCTTAGCCGGTTGAGCTATAGGCGCCGAGCCGATGGTAGTTTTCTTAAGCTTGGAACATTTAAAAAAGAAAATTTGCTAAGTGCTGCCTTGACATCATTTCCCTCCAGAAGACACCCCGTACAGGTTTTCCCCCTCCCTTTAAGGTGGGGGCAGGGGGAGAGGAAGACAGGACTCAGAGTCCTAAAAAAGAAGAGGAACAGGAACTGCCATGGGAAAAGGGTGACTCCACAAGTCTGCCGACGTCTTCATTCTGACAACTCATCCAAACACAAGTTTTTCTCCTTCCTCTTTAGGAAATAATCAGGTGAGTTGTGGTTGCAAGTCTTTCTGGAGGATTATGGGATAAGATAGAGATAGAAGGGACAATGTGGAAGACAGAGTGAAGCCTAATCAGCAAGACATCTGTATCTAAAGGGATGCAGTTGTTAGGGAAAAGATCATGGTATCTACCGAGCAAGCAAAGAGAAACTTTTTCTGCAAAAGACGATGTACGGCTTGGGGGTAGCATGACCTTGGGAAAGCCAAAAGTACATTCTGGAGAAAGTAGGGAAGAAGCTGGCCTTGATCCCTTACAGGCTTTAAAATACATTTAGCAAGGGGTGGGGAGTCTTATCAATATTTATGAGAAAGACTTTGTGTAC